CCCTCAACACCAGCCTCTCAACCGACTCCATCATCAGTCTCACCTCAACCTGCATCAACTCCACTTACTTCACCTGGGGGGACGAGATCTATGAACAAATTCATGGACTTCCCATGGGCTCCCCCTTATCCCCCATCCTAACCGAAATTTACATGACGGACCTGGAAGATAAAGCACTGGATACTGCACCCTTCAAACCCACATGTTGGTATCGCAAAGTGGATGACACCTTCGTCATCCTCCAACCTCAGCAAGATCCCACTCAGCTTCTCACCCATCTCAACAACCAACATCCCCTACATCAAGTTCACCATGGAAACCGAGCAGAACCAGCAACTACCTTTCCTTGACGCCCTTGTGTCCCGCACCTCCAGCAACCAACTCCAGACCACTGTATACAGAAAACCCACCCATAATGGATCAGTATATCCACTACAACTCCAATCATCCACCTAAAGTTAAGACCGCATCATCTCCACACTAACCAGAAGGGCCAAGAACATCTGCTCAACTAAACTACAAGATGAAATCGAACACCTCAAGAAAGTCTTCAGTAGAAGCATAACCACTTTCCATCCCAAATAGTCAACAGAACCATCGCTGCCACCCTGTCACCCCTACCAAAAGACCCAAACAAGATTTAGCCCCATCAAGATATCCATCCCCTATATTGGCAAACCGTCACATTAATCAGCCGCCTCCTGAAAGATCAAGCTGGCATAGATACCACCTTCTCTGCGTCCTCCAACCTTAACAACATTCTCCATGCCAATGGAAGAAAACCCACCACAATAAAGAACAACCCAAAATGTGTCACCTACAAAATAAACTGTGATTGTGGGCAGAGCTACATAGGCGAAACTTCCCGACCCATCAACACTCGAGTGAAAGAACATCAGACCTCTGTTACCAATTCCGACAGCAAATCAGCCATTTCCGACCACATCAAAGCAAGCCCCAATCATCAAATAGAGTGGTCTGACATCACCATTCTCTCTAACAAACAAACAGACTTCACTAAACGCAAGCTCACCGGCCATCCACATCAAACGCCAAAAGCCCACCATCAACCGAGACCAAGGATACTTCATTCCATCCGCTTTATGATGCACTCATCCACCAAGCCCAATCCACTGTATAAACTCACTGCTGTATAAACATGTCATTATCATTTGTACATCATTGGCTTCTACGCCTGTCCTTTGTCTACTCTCTGGCTTCATCAGCCTTCTGCCTAGCCCAATTATGTTAATTATGTTGTTTTCTTTGTCACATTGTCACATCCAGTATATATACACTTCCCCCCTCTTCATGTCCCATTATGCTTGACAACGGTACAAGAATCTGTATCGAAACGTCGCACTCACGAATAAAAAGAAGTTGTTATCCATAAAGTTTGTTCTATATTGCACTTCCCAACTTCTAAAATGCCACTCAAAGAAGAAATTTATATCATTCTGCAACTGAAGTCTGGCAAAACTCTCTGAGGTTTTTAGTGTCAGTCTCAATACAAAAACTAAACACTCAAACAGGTCTAGTGACAGAACTATCTACTCCAAGTGGCCATTCTATCCATAATTTTCTGTACCTCCTGAACAGGAAACTATTCTCTTCCCCAAACTAAACAGGGAACATACAAGGGTTAATGGGGGCCTTTTCCTCATCTCCTGATCAGGAAACTGTTCTCTTCCCCAAACTAAACAGGGAACATACAAGGGTTAATGGGGGCCTTTTCCTCATCTCCTGATCAGGAAACTATTCTCTTCCCCAAACTCAACAGGGAACATACAAGGGTTAATGGGGGCCTTTTCCTCATCTCCTGATCAGGAAACTATTCTCTTCCCCAAACTCAAAAGGTAACATACAAGGGTTAATGGGGACCTTTTCCTCATCTCCTGATCAGGAAACTATTCTCTTCCCCAAACTCAAAAGGTAACATACAAGGGTTAATGGGGACCTTTTCATCATCTCCTGAACAGGAAACTATTCTCTTCCCCAAACTCAAAAGGTAACATACAAGGGTTAATGGGGACCTTTTCATCATCTCCTGAACAGGGAACTATTCTCTTCCCAGCATGGGTCACAGGGGCCCTTTCACCTGAACAGGAACCTATTTTCTTCCCTTAACCCCAAAAGAGTCATGCATCTGGGGGCCTTTCTGCAGCCCGGATGACAAATGGAACGTATTAGGGATCCTTCCTCATCTCGAATCTGAACAACGCTTCTCTGCAAATTCCTATGGTGCAACATCCAATTTCTACATATCACAAAACTCATTTATTATTGCATTTTTCATAGATTTAACATTAAGCACAGTTATGAAAACAATAACAAACATTAGAGAGCTGGTTCCGAGATTCAATAATGCTATTATTGAATTTTCTGCACTCCACATCACTGCGATGCAATAAACGTGCAATAATATTCCCATTTAGTCCGTAAATCATCTTCTAACTACATCCTTCCCACCATTCCTTGTCCATTTCACCATGGACAATGGATCACTTTAACTGCAATCGACAACTGTCCGAGCCAACATACTGCTTTTGTGTCCTTGTCAGACTTACTGATCCCATTATCATGTCAAACAAGATTCTGTTCTGTTAATTTTCAGAATATTTTCAATTTACTCTTCGAATCAGTGCAAGGAGGTCCAGCATAAAATGTTCATAATGACACAGCAATCTCAAGCCAACTATTGTGAACCAGTTTAATGATAAAGTTCATTTATTGTCAATGAGAAAATGAATACGAATCCAACCTATCTTCATGCCGTAAAAGAGTGAGAACGACATACAACTATACTCGATCAACCGTCTCAGATTGACCACCGAATCCATTTAATCTTCCCTTACAACCAACATAAGTTGCTGGGGAACCATCATAACCTAGAATCCCAGAGGGCAACACTACACTAGGCATAATCTAATTAAATATTTTGACTTCACCAAAATTCAAATCTCAGCCGGACCAGTATTTAACTTCTCACTAACTCACTCTTAATACACATAGAACAATCAAAAGTACTTATCATATCAGATTTTGATTAGTAAAAAGCAAAGACTAGTTTTTACAAAAAATATTGCTGAAACTTAGATAAAAGCAGAGATGCCAACCCCAAGGTGTTGCAAATGGTAGTTTCAAGGATCAATATTAGTAGTTTGACCATAAAATTAGTGGTCAACTAAATACTAAAAATCATTATGGACTCTATGACACTAATCAAGAGTGAAGCTTTGATTTCACATACCTCCAACCAACAGCAGATTTCCAAATTATCAGCATTACATTTCTTATTGTCATCTCTTTTTGGCGAAAATGTATTTAATCCACGAAAATATGTTTTTGTCTATATATCCGAATGTTAATGAATTTTCTTTAAATTTCGTAGAATTTCTAGTGCAATCGTATTGACATAGTTTGAGGATAAAATTCGTAGCGACTACGATAAAATCGTAGAGGTCGGCATCTCTGTAAATGTGTCAAGTATTCTTTTCTGGACATTGTTGTGCATACTACAGGTATATAACAGGCTATTGAAGTAGACAAGGCCTCTTCCACTGTCTGCACAGAAACAAGATTATAATGATTGTGTTTCTACAACAAATTAACACAACATGGTTCTTACACAACTTAATCTCAAAGCAGATAACCCCCTTTTTAAACTGTCCTTTAAGACAATGATTAATCCATATATACTACATTGACAGAGCTAAAGTAAATATTTCTGTGACAAGAATAAACGCCACTCAATAGTATCCGAACAGCCATGAAGTGCTCACCGCATGGCAGCCTGGCAATCAACAAGCTGTGTACCCCCTACTGTCATCCCTTGCCCCCAGTCCTTCACACCCCACCCCCTACCTGTTTACACCTGGGGCACCTGTCTGTATTAATCAGCAACTGGTACAGGACCCACCAGGTGAGGTCATTCCACTTCTCTGTTAATTAATTAACACATACCTTCATACACAAGCATTTGAGAATTCTTTTCTTTGTGGTCTAAGTTTTATTGAATTATCAATGTGACTCCTTGTGAAATTGCATTGGCTCTTACAATAATATTCAGGTAATGAAAAAATCTTAATTCAGTTGTTAAAGTTGACAATATGAGATTACAACATCATTTTGGTATTTTCAAATATTCTTTTTGAAAATATATTTGTTTCGTACTGGGAATCTCCCAAATCTCTTAAATCGGCAATCCTATTAGAAGTCAATAATTTGATCAAAGGTCGTCAAATGTCAACCTGATCAATCAAGACCATTAAAAATAATATTGAAAAAAGTATTTTTGTGAATTACGACACTCAATAAGTGTGAAAAATGCTTTCTCTGCTATAGGTTTGTATGCATTATGTGATAACAAATCAATTAAGGTCAAAACCTTTGGATTATCAATATTGCATGACAGATTAACTATAGCAAGGTGAAAGAATCAGACAGTACTTAATCATATCTAGGCATTATGGCATGACAGATAAATCATAGCAATACAAAAGAATCAGGAGTTCCTTAACATGTTTTGAGTAGTTTATGTATCACATTATCACCTGTCAACGAACTCAGTAAGAGTTAGAAATAACAACACTGATGACACAAATGCCCCCTCCCCCGCCGCTTTGTCTTCAGCAAATATTTCAGAAGGACAATGACTGTATGTTATTCGGAGCTTGATCTCTAACACCATGTCACAAACATATCAATAGGGTATTTTCATTAGCAAGTCCAATACTTCAGAACTACCAATTACCACCCAATAAAAATTCCCATCCAGTGTTAATGAAATTGGCTGTCATTATTTGCTATTCACGTCCCTGCACCTCTAATCTACCTCCTTCCAGGCGTGTGGCTGTTTGCACCTGGAGGTGGGTCAATTACTTGCTTACACACCTGAAAATCTCATTACTCAAAGCCTGTTTTGTAACAATGAATCAGACTTAAACCCTGCGTCTCTACCGCCACTAGATTAATACTAGTCCTGTTGTTGTGTGTTGCAGATAACCCAGCCAAGTGTCCCCAGTCATGAAGGCTGCCAGGGGTAGATTGCACCCTGGTTGGAAGGAACTCACCCAGCACTGGTGATAACAGTACTCCATATCCAGAACAGAGGGGTTGATAACGGGTGACAGGCATCAAGATGGATGAGAACACGCTTGCCTATCACACTAAGCTTCACCAGTGGTATGAGCTCCACAGACTCAACCGTAGCGGAGACATGGCCAGTCTCAAGCTCCCAGAAGATGGAGCTCATCTCACTCCGCAAAAGGCTGTTGAAATTGACCTGTGGAGAAAGGAGGTCAATAAAATCTTCGTAAAACCGAAGAAAATCGAGAAGAAATCTGAATTCTGGAGATGTCATATGAGCTCCGACCTCGGCTACTAAATATTACAATAACTCCGACCCACGTCGGGTCAAATCGGCCAGATTCTTCTCCAACCGGAACAAAACAGGAGCAGTTGACATCAATGCTTTGCCATCTCACTTGGCTGAAATGTCCATCCATTACAACCGTGAACGAAGGGGTGTTTACACACCAGGGTTCTCAGCCGAAGACTTGCTGGTTAAGGGTAGAAAGCAAGAGCTTCACCTACCGCAGTTTCTCCGAGCAATCCGAGGTCAAGGGTCAGATGAAGGGACAAGTCAAAGAGGAGGCACCCATGTTTCCATCCCCAATCCTGTCCGTGACTGTGAAGTTACAACCAACAATGAGTCAGGTGTATGCACAGAAACAGCCGACGAGGCCCCAGAGGGCCGAAAAGCTATTGTCTGTGATCGCTCTCAATCAAACAACCTCCTGAATGTCATGTCTATCGATGACTGTAAAATGGGTCTCAGATACCGACCACAACGAGTGATTAGCTCTCATGAGTTGGAGAGATGTGATGATTCAACAAACGGTGACAGTAACATAGATGAAAATGGGAATGCTCATCCCTTACGAATTAGCCAAGGGACTGGATCAGGAATGACACCAGTCTCCCAAACAAGAATTAACTCATTACTTTCTGCTCAGAGAATAAAACACAAGCACTTGGTGATAAATGGCAACAATGTGGCTCCAGAACGACCTCAGTCGGCCATCTTGGCTCGAGCCTTTGACACTATCCTACAAGAAAACTCCATGCTATCAGCCCCACTGCACCCAAAGGAGGTTCGTTTCTTTGCTGGCAGCAAGGACATGGGGTACCCCGCCAATGGTAAGCACATTTATCAAAGACTAAACTCAACACTTAAGAACAAAATGAACAATGTGGTGAAGGCACGGTGTGATGGCTTAAGGCGAAAGGACTCAATAAGCGCTCGTGTGCAATACAATGGAACAGACAGCCTTAAGTTCAGTAAAAGGTCAACAGCCACAGAATCTCTTGTCTCTGATGATGCTAAGCAGCTGTAACCGAACTTGTGTGAAATGAGTCGAGGTTGAGGTCACAAGGATCTCCAAGGTCACGGGGATGACAGAATCCTTAGACTCCGATGATGCCGAACAGCTGTAACAAAACCTTTGACATGTGTTTCGTTCTTGAGGTCAAAGAGGATGAAAGAATCATTCGAGTCTGATAATGCCGAACAGCTGTAACAAAACCTTTGACATGTGTTTCATTCTTGAGGTCAAAGAGGATGAAAGAATCATTCGAGTCTGATAATGCCAAACAGCTGTAACACAACCTTTGACATGTGTTTCATTCTGAAGGTCAAAGAGGATGAAAGAATCATTCGAGTCTGATAATGCCGAAAAGCTGTCACAGAACCTTTGTTTGAAAAGTGTTGTGTTCTCCCAGGTAACGAGGATGAGATAACCTTTCAACTCCCATGACCCCGAACAGCTGTAACACAACGTTTGCTTGATATGTGTTTTCTGAGGTCACGAATATGACAGAATCCTTCAACTCAGAAGATACCAAACAGCTGGAACTGAACCTTTGTTAGAAATGTGTTGATTGTTTTAATATTGGAAGAACAATCCTACCATTATCTTTGAAATGTGTTGCATTCTCTGACATTGCAAAGACAACAGAACCCTTCGGCTCTGAAGATGCCGAACAGTTTTTACTGTGTTATTTGACTGAAATGTGTTACTCTTGGAGGGATGTTTTCAGTTTCTTTGAGGATAGAGATCAGTGTTGTCCATATTCTTGTTCTTCTGAGTGAGGGAACCTGGATTATATCATACTGGGTAGACTTTTCGTGGTAAGTTTCTTTTACAGTATAAAAACCTGGGGTACTTTATGAATGAATGGTGTTGTTCTGTTCAATGATGATCCAATGTTGATGAACTTTGTCTTGCACTATTCACACTGAAGGGATACAAATAAGAATCGTCTCCATCTGTTTAAATTTTGTGTGTGAATAACATCCTTGTGAATTGATGGCTGAAAGTCACAGCAGAAACTATAACTTAATAAAATGTTTGGTTACCATGGTTACTTATTGTATCATTATCTTTACATATTTCATACTGTCTCTGCATTAGGGGTTAAAGCATTTGCTCGTCACACTGACTGAGGACCGGGTTTAATTCCCCACAAGGGTACAATGTGTGAAGCCCATTTCTGATGTCCCTGATATTGCTGGATTATTGCTAAAAACAGTGTAAAACCATATTCACTCACTCACTCTGCATTCAATAATCACATCCTTAACACAGGAATATGTAATTGTGAGAATAAAATTCATAACGATTCCGAAATAAAGTAAAAATACTAAAATGATAAATTATCAAAAGCAAAAATGATGAAGTTTGATTTAAGTATTTACAATGGGAAACACTGAATATGAATTCACAATATTATTTACTGAAGCATTAACAATGTTTCTTCCATATGAATTTTATACGGGGTTCATATGTACGTGTGACCAAGTTTCGGAAGAGTGCATTCAGTCATATCAAAATTTGAATTTTGTTGTAAAACATCTTATAGTGATGAGTGAGTGAGTGAATTTAGTTTTCAGCAAAAATCCAGCCATATGGCGGCAGTCTGTAAATAATCGAATCTGGACCAGACAATCCAGGGATCAACAGCATGAACATCGATCTACGCAATTGGGATACAATGACATGTGTCAACCAAGTCAGTGAGCCTGACCACTTGATCCCTTTAGTTTCCTCTTACGACAAGCATGGGTTACTCAGGGTCAATTCTAACCCGGCCCTCCACGGGTCCTTATAGTGATGAAGTTCTTCGACAAATACCAGTTTGGTGAAACCCACAATCATGTGTATGGTGCAAAGAATCGAACCATGGTGAATCTAACATTCGAACCCATGACTAGAGCTCCTGGCAAGTAACTTAGCACAACCGGGCCAACTGTTACCATCACCATAATTTACAGAAAGTTATTGATTATACTCATTTCCTTAACATCAAATACTAACCACAATTAGATGTTCCACTTAACAAACTGTACTACTTTCATTTCCTCCAATGAAGGACAAGAGGCCACAGTGTTCCCTGAGGAGTCATACAGTGAGGATGTTAACAACACAATTTTCTAGCTACCAATAATGTCCTGGTAGTCCCATCACAACATTTCCAACAAACACATTTCCAACAAACACATTTCCAACAAACATTTACAACAAACACATTTACAAACACATTTACAACAAACACATTTACAACAAACTCATTCACAACAAACACATTTACAACAAAAATCCATTTACAACAAACACAATCAACACCAATTTAAAAGACCTTTTCTTCCATTTCCACAAATCCTCCATCAGGAGTTAGGGTATTCCACCCCTAGGATTTAACCCACACACTCATCATCCTTTATAAGACTGATGTATGATACAATCTCAGTTACTAAGGCAATGCATGGGGCCAAAGTTACTAAGGGGTCACAGATCACCTGTAATCATTTATCAAAGTTTTAAGATGTTCATCATAAGGTCAGATATATTTCCATATTTCCACAAATCCTCAATCAAGGTGAGTAAGGGTTTGACTTCCCCAGGATATAATCAATGCACGTGCTATCTTCAAACTAAGACAGAAATACGATATATTTTCAGTTATTGATTTGATGCATGGGTTCAAAGTTTGCCAGTGAGATATTTATCAGCGTTTCTAGCATTGGTGAAAGCCTATTTCTTTTTTGAAACGGTCCCTGGTTTATCCCCAGCAACTATCTGAAGGGCTTAATGTCATTGTCACTGATTTGGTATTAACTTAATACCTTCTCATGAGGGGATCATCTCAAAACATGTCACAAAGAATATAAATAATGTTAAAAATACAAAACAAGAAGACACGGGACATCATTACAAGAAAGGAAAACCAAACCAGATACATAAAGATTATAAAGTTTATCATGTATTTGTGTTCAGAAAGATATCTAAAAAATTACTCACAAAAGACAACTCACAACCTGTTTGCACCGACGATTTTGCCACCACGCACTCAAAAAAGCTCTTGATTGTTATCAGAATTTTTCAACATATTTTTACTTGTTTTATTGATGCATCTGTTTCAAGTGTTACTTTCAGGACATTGAACTGAAATCAACACCGATAGCATTTTCATTTTTTCTGTTTTACAGCCTGCCTCGAGGCATATTGGTCCATAAAAAATAACAAGGTATGGTTAATGCTATATCCCTTTCACTGCAAGCAATTAACAACCATTCAGCAACTATTCAAGTCCAGTCCATAGGGACAGGTCTAACAGATTTTAAACAGAACATTTTGAAATCTTTTAACAATGTGATACATCAGGAAGAGGTTTTTGTGGATGATTGATTCATCATCATAAAACCCAAAACAATGCTTTTAAAACTTGTACAAAACTGTTAACAAACATTTTTCAAATGTACATTTGCAATTTTTTATGACAATACATTGTAGTGTAAGCATGGAAACCACTGACTCTTTATAGATAGACTTACAATAGACACAATGTGTGTAAAAGAATGTGACGTTTATCTTTGTGTCTTGTCAGATTTACGCACTGAAGTCACTGATGGTGCGGTGAGGTGAAATGGGGTTTAACATCGCACTTAAGACTTAAGAATATTTCACTCATATGACGACGTGCATGCGTGTTTATGTGTGGCTGTTTGTACTAGCCCAGACTTAAGCTGGTTTTATAGTGCTAACTCACTGAGATACCATGCCGCAGTGAAGCATGAATACCCCACTCAGACACATTATACTGACTCCGAGCAAACCTGTCCTTGTTGTACCCATTAATGCCGAGCGCCAGGCTGGGACCAACAAGTACCATATTTTAACCTCCTTTGGTATGACACGGCTGGGGATCAAAACCATGACCTTCCGCTCTCCGTGCGGACACTCTAACCACTACACCACGGAGGCGGTCTAGTCGCTGATGGGCATTTGTTTCAAGACCTGTCCTACTTCTGTGATAAATATCACTGCTTGTTGTACCAAGTTTGTACAGAAGGAATACATACTGATACACAACATGATCTCAGTGTGTCTCCGAAACACAACACAATAAACACTGATACACAACAACATGATCTCAGTGTGTCTCCGCAAGGCAACATCAACACAATAAACACTGATACACAACAACATGATCTCAGTGTGTCTCCGCAAGGCAACATCAACACAATAAACACTGATACACAACAACATGATCTCAGTTACTCCGCAACATCAACACAATAAACACTGATACACAACAACATGATCTCAGTGTGTCTCCGCAAGGCAACATCAACACAATAAACACTGATACACAACAACATGATCTCAGTGTGTCTCCGCAAGGCAACATCAACACAATAAACACTGATACACAACAACATGATCTCAGTGTGTCTCCGCCAACACACAAAAGGCAACATCAACACAATAAACACTGATACACAACAACATGATCTCAGTGTGTCTCCGCAAGGCAACATCAACACAATAAACACTGATACACAACAACATGATCTCAGTGTGTCTCCGCAAGGCAACATCAACACAATAAACACTGATACACAACAACATGATCTCGATACACTCCGCTAACAACATCAACACAATAAACACTGATACACAACAACATGATCTCAGTGTGTCTCCGCAACGCAACATCAACACAATAAACACTGATACACAACAACATGATCTCAGTGTGTCTCCGCAACGCAACATCAACACAATAAACACTGATACACAACAACATGATCTCAGTGTGTCTCCGCAAGGCAACATCAACACAATAAACACTGATACACAACAACATGATGTCTCTCATGATGTGTGTCTCGCATGATCTCAGGCAACATCAACACAATAAACACTGATACACAACAACATGATCTCAGTGTGTCTCCGCAAGCAACATCAACACAATAAACACTGATACACAACAACATGATCTCAGTGTGTCTCCGCAAGGCAACATCAACACAATAAACACTGATACACAACAACATGATCTCAGTGTGTCTCCGCATCAACACAATAAACACTGATACACAACAACATGATCTCAGTGTGTCTCCGCAAGGCAACATCAACACAATAAACACTGATACACAACAACATGATCTCAGTGTGTCTCCGCAAGGCAACATCAACACAATAAACACTGATACACAACAACATGATCTCAGTGTGTCTCCGCAAGGCAACATCATCACAACACAATAAACACTGATACACAACATGACACATGATCTCAGTGTGTCTCCGCAACGCAACATCAACACAATAAACACACTGATACAACAACATGATCTCATTCAGTGTGTCTCCGCAACGCAAACATCAACACTGATGAATAACATCAACAAATAAACACTGATACACAACAACATGATCTCACAAATACATGATCTCAGTGTTGTCTCCGCAACGCAACATCAACACAATAAACACTGATACACAACAACATGATCTCAGTGTGTCTCAGTGCAAGGCAACATCAACACAATAAACACTGATACACAACAACATGATCTCAGTGTGTCTCCATGCTAGCGCAACATCAACACAATAAACACTGATACACAACAAATAAACATGATCTCAGTGTGTCTCCGCAAAGGCAACATCAACACAATAAACACTGATACACAACAACATGATCTCAGTGTGTCTCCACTGATAAACAACATGATCTCAGACAACATCAACACAATAAACACTGATACACAACAACATGATCTCAGTGTGTCTCCGCAAGCAGCAACATCAACACAATAAACACTGATACACAACAACATGATCTCAGTGTGTCTCCGCATGCGCAACATCAACACAACACTGATACACTGATACACAACATCAACACAATAACAAACATGCAACGCAACATCAACACAATAAACACTGATACACAACAACATGATCTCAGTGTGTCTCCAAGGCAACATCAACACAATAAACACTGATACACAACAACATGATCTCAGTGTGTCTCCGCTAACAACATCAACACAATAAACACTGATACAC